CATGCATTTTTGTCCTTTTAGCGCTGTTATGCCTCAAATGAGGCGCACGGTTTGTCTTTGCTTGCTTGATCACTTAAAGCGCGTCTTCGTTGGTCCTTCAATTTTCTACAGATGTTTTGAATTGTGTTGAAGGGAGACGTTACTCCCCTGCACCACGGCGGAGTTACGGATAGTGGGTCGGTAGGCATGTTGTGGTGTCGTACAGCATGCCCCTCGCGATTATAAGGAATGAAAGCCTAGGAGGGGCCTGACGGATTTGAAGGTTTTGATTGGCGGCAGGCACGGCTCTGGACGACCCCCGCGTTCACCGCTGGCATTTTTGCTTCCACGTACTATTTGTACGGTGCCTTATTGTGTTCCGTGCATGGGTCATTCGTATCTGAATCATGCCTATATGGTCCCAGTGAGTACATTTACACAGGCTTATAGGTGTGTGTGTGTGTGTGCGTGTTCATACTGATACATGCACACACACTGTTTGCGCATGCACTAGTCTCTGCCGGCCGGGGCTGTTTTGTTAGCCGGGTGTTTTTTCTTTGGGCTGTTTGTCCACTGAAGAGACTCAAAGAGGTTTTTTCACGCAAGGCGATTTCGGGAAAACGTTTCCACGTAATATCACATAGAGGAACTGATGTGTGGCGTCTACTAGTGCGCGAGAAGTGGCGGAACAGCCTAGAGAGGCTCACTTCAAGTTAGGAGGGAAAGGCAAAGAAGGTAGACACGAATGCATTGGCAGTGAAGGGCATGAAGGGGACGCAAGGGGAGCGTCAGAGAGTCTTTCCGTATTTCGGAGGATGCAGTGCAGCCGTACAGGTTCGCTTGTTGAGTTACCGCACCCAAGGGCCGCTTTTCTCAATGCGCTGTATGGGTTGAGCTAGTATAGGAAGTACTTGTGTATGTGCAGCTCGATCAGGTCTCGTGCTGTAGACAGTTGTAGTGGGAGTGGGGGTGTTCTTGTGTCGGGCTGCTGGGTAGGACAAGGGCGCAATGAAGTGTGTCAACCAGCCGTACTCTTTAGGGGGCGACGCAGAAATCCACCCGAGCGCTTCGTGGATGTTGCGCGTCAAAGATGGCGACGGCGGGAAGCTACAATCGCGTGGTGCGCGCCAGGGGGGCCGAGGTGCAGAGCATAGTTGGACGCTGCTCATCGCTCGACCTAAAGATCCGCTTCCATTGCTTAGTCTGCGGATGTTTAGAAGGTGATCAAGTGTTGGACGCTTCAAAAGATGTTTTGCAATGCCGCTTGAAGGACACGTCAGCAAAAGAACCTGATAAGATTACTTGCTGGTGGGTATAGCCCCTTCGCTCCCCGACGTAAAATATCAGGTATTGCCTTTCCTGCAACACCTGTTTTAAGTATTTGACTCGATGAGTTGCAGTGTGGCCGACTTGGCAAACAAGGCAGATCACTGCAAATAACATTTTAGCTTATTGGGATAGAATCCGCTGGGTGCCTAAGACTTGCGTCCTTACGCATGTATGTTGAGCTATGAATTCGTACTCACTAATGGTGAATACTGGATTGCACACACCTCGGAGAGCCAGTAGATAAAAAAAGGGCTGGTAGGCAACCCATTTCCGGAACGAACAAGCAACTGGGAATCCTGAATAAATCAAACATGGAGTACGCTTTAGCCAACACAGGCAATTCCAGGCCAGCTAGGAGCGTTGTTGAGCTGTCACGATACAGATGCTTGTCGTAGAAGGAGTTTCACCTTCAGAACCTCCGGAACTTCAAATTTCTACCGACAAGCACGGAGACGCGAGAAGGCTCGAGATGAAACAATCCTTCGGAGGAGCCTTGCTTAATCCAGCGCAAGTGTCGAATCGAATACCCCTTACCCCTTTTGAAGCAAACAGTTTGTGTTTATTATTAATTTCAGCGTAGGCCAGAAAACCGAAATTCCAGTCTTAGAAGAGCGCTTCTACCTCCCGGGATTCCGATGTCGTCGGCCTGGGAAAGATTTCCAGGTCAGTATACGCCAATACCTCACTGCATTCTTACCGTCTTGTGCCTCCACTTGCAGGGAGCCGGAAACAGCAGTGCTTAGCAGTGCCACTGGTCATCGTTACACCATCATGACCTTCAACAACAGCAACCAGGTGCCATATCCCGAAGTATTTCACGGGTTAAACTCTTCCATTTTCCTTCCAGCCTTTGAAGCCAATATCCTACTCACCTCATATGCTAAGACTCTGTGAGACTTTCGAGTCCTGGAGCCGCCCTTGTTGGTCTCCGGATGCTTCCACCCTGGTTATTCGCTACTTTCTATAGGCGTGTTAACAGGGTTGGGAGTGCAATGCATGGATACGGCAAACGGCAGCGCATCACGATAGCTGATATTGGAACTGTTGTCCTTTGTTAGGTTTGAATAGCCCGCCGGATGTTCATTGAGGGGACATGTATACCAGGGATCCTTTTAGAGGACGCTCACCAGATAGCTAAAGAAAAATAACATCACTAATGTGCTCAAATAGCACTGAATACGTGAAAGAGCATGCCCAAATTGAGCGGTAACACCAGAAATCCAATTCCTTTTGAGCACTCGGGGTTTGGCCGTTGTAGTAATAAGTTAGTGGTCTCGGAGAGACAACAGCAGAGTCCATTGTTGTAAGCTTGGCGTCTCACGCGGCTGAAGTAGAATTCCTGTGTTATTAATTGAGCGCACGCACGAAGCAAGCCTGCTACAAGCTGCATATTGGAGACGACTCTGCAAAAAAGATGTGCCTTTTCTTAGGCTGCTGAAACAAGTCGTATACCCCAAGAAGGGACCCACGAACAATTAGGGTGTAGAGAGTCTTAGCCAGCTGGCTAGTTCTTGTTCTCCGTGAAACGAGAGACCAAATCTAGCTGTATATTTAGTTCAGCAAACGTTCGTAGTTTAGGATTACATGCAAAGGAAGCCCCCTCTAGTTTTTGAGATCGCAAACGGTTCGACCGAGAGACCCTGCATGCCCCAAGTTGTATGGGCAAAGCACTATTCTTCCCCTCTACTTTTCGTATGACATTGTAAGGACAGCTGGCAAAGTTACTTGTCAAGGTGTAAAAGCAAGGCAGCCAGGTAGGCGTAGCGATCTTTCAGCAATGAGATAGTTATCTCGCCATTTGTCCTTAGACGGCAAGTTGCTAATTCATTGACATTGATCACCAGGTTAGCAGCATGTAGGCAATTTGATCATCTCCCACTAGGGGCGTCATCTATGCTCATTCGACTTGGTAGTATATTGCACTGACTTTCTGCTTTCGCGCAGCACCCTATGTATAGCCACCTGCATATCGAGAACTGAGCGCTTCTTCGTACTTTCTACGCATTCGCTCGCAAGGTGCCAATCAAGTAGATAATGACACCCTTTTTTCCAAGCAAACAATTTTTTATTTGTATTCTGATGGATAATAGATACGGCATTGCAACCATTGTTAATTCGTTCGAGCAATACTAGCAGCGCTGAAGCAGCGGCGTCGAATGTATAAGCAGTGACGGCTTTAAAAAAATCGGGGTGCATAGTAAGCCTAACACTACAGCATATGGATCACGAGTCACTCACACGTCGCGTGAGTGTCTTATATCCGCATATACTCTGCTAACTGAGGCATGGCATTGTTGCGTGCGTACACACAAAAGTCCCTTTTGCGTTATCTAACCTAGAACACTTGCGCGTTCTCCCAAGGCACAGTCATTCTTTGCTGCAGGCGTTTATCTCGACTGTGTTCCATTCCCTCTTATTATGCAAACGAGTAGGGGCATGAAGTGCAGGCTTTAGACTTGATACCTATTGATCTCGAGTGCAGTGACCGACTTTACAGTGTATGCCTTAAAAGGTGCGCTCAAAATCCTGCCTATTAGGCTTAAGGGTAATGTATCGTGCATTTTCACGACAATGAAAAATCCAAGGACGCTGCCGATTTGTTCTTCCGGTGCATTGAAAAAGCACGCCTAGCCATATCTATTCAAGGTGCTACCGCCACCGGAGTATAAAAAGAGCATTAGCCTACTGTGTGCGATTGCGTGCTCAAGGGTCTGGCAGGTTTTGGGTGCGAATACCACCCATTCAATGCAAGACAAGGAGTGCAGATTGTGAACGGATGAGACAGTGCTCGTTCAGGAGGGTGTATACTAAGCCTCAAAGTACTTTCCTTTACGGCTAAAAGAAAGACAAGGAATGGATAGAAACAGCCAGCCAAACAAAGGAATATGCGTGTCCTAATAATGGGCGGTGCAAGGCTGGCTGGGTGGCAGCAACGCGCCAATTGCATGCAGGGAAATGGACCCTTCTGCAGAGAACCACTAGAAACGTGCAGCTCAACGAGCACAGGGTTTGGTACTGGTCAGATGTCAAATGGAAAGGTAGAATAGGCGACTGTAAGTACGGCATCTAGTACCATCTTGTGTAGTGAATGTTCCTGCGAGCGCTACGCCAGCCGTTGGCAGTGGCGGCTGCCGCTACTGCTACAGCAGCTGCAGCAGCTCTCTGGCGTTGCAGCTGAGGTTTACCTCGCGGCCAGATTCATGCTCCTTTAAATGCAATTACTGAAAGAAGCATTCTTGCTTCCTCTCTCCGAGTGCTTTTTTCAAGTATCTTTTCTATTCGCAGCCCTGCTGTAGCGCCCTCCGTATGCAGCTGCAATTGCTGCTACCGCTGCTGCATGCAGCTACGCGCATATGATGTACAGAGACAACTGATCGTCTTTCGGGATTCGATTCTCAAAGACAGAATCTGATTGCGTACAGGGAGGCATTCGCTGCAGTTGCTGCTACAAGGGAATTCGTTGTCGCACCAGTACCACTTGACTGGTTGCACGCTACCGCGGCAGTGCGACCACCAGCGGGCCACAGCGGAACGGCACGCATACAGGAAAGCGAACAGGAGTAGTCACCTGTTCGCGGCAGATACGAGGCAGCGGCGGCAGCAGACAGAGCGGCAGCATCAGAGCCGGAGCAAGCCGAACCGCCGACGAGATTCCCTCTGTGGCCTCTACTATCCTGGCAGCGGACCTGAAAATGACGAACGTAGCAAGAGAACTACTTAAAAAGCAATTTATTGGTGAGGCGTGAATTCCCAAGCATCTGGCATTCATCAAGAAATGCGTTAGAGGCGGGCCTGGGGGTTCCTACATTCTGGAGCACTCGAGACTTGCCCAGTGCGCGGAGGCTTGCTATACTGCCTTTGTGCGCGTAATTCGCTTCATGACGCTAATTAGGAGTCTCCTGTTGCTGCTGCTGGTCGCATGACGGCCGTTGTTGGCGTGGCCTGAGCGCTTCCAAAGAACCTTTAACAAGGGTAGTGGAGAGGGAGGTATATACGCATATATGTATATACGTTAGGCACGGAGGTGCAGCACTGCAGAGCGGGAAATTGAACGTTTCGGGAGCAGAGGGACGGTGCTTTTTTGAAGAACGACAGCATGTAAAGAGTGACGGCTCACCGGCTCCTCCGAGCGTCAAACGTGGCTGTGTTGAATTAGGCTGGGCGGAAGCGCAGGCAGTCCTCCGATTTGCGTCTGCAGGCGCCTTTCGCGTGCTCTTGTCATGTGAATTTTCTCAGAGCTGTCTCGAGATGCGCCTAGTGGCTGCTCCGTCGGGCTGGATGACGACGCGAATTTCTTTAGCTGGCGAGTGTGCTTTGAGGGTCCCCCGGATACCTTTTACGAAGGCGGTATCTTCCAAGCCTCCCTCAAGTTTCCTCCCGATTTTCCAAACAACCCACCAGAGATGGTCTTTGAACAAGACATGTGGCACCCTAATGGTAGGGAGAATTGGCTGGGGCGGGTAGGCCAGTGGGATTGCTCCTTTTCTACTGCTAGTTACAGTAGGCAGGTTGGCGCTCTCTATGTGAGCCAGTAACGAGGATCGAGGGAAGCTGGGGAAAGAGATGGACAAACACGAGGGAAAGGGAATCTGTATGTATGTTTTCATGGCCATACACGCTCCTCTTTCCCAGTGTCTCTCTCGATGCCTCCATATTCTATACATACACATATACATGTATTCTAGAGGCATTATTACTTGTGTATAAACATAAGTGTATGTACAAATGCGTAATACTGAGTGAAGAAGCGGGCATTCTCTGTTACAGCTGGGCTGAGACGCGCTGTATTGCTTGCTTGCTCGAGTTGGGAAGTTGGCGTGAGTACTACTGGCCTGGGAAGTTACAGATTTCGGTGCACCTTCTGGCCCTGCCAGGTACTCGTAGTGTTTTTTTGCGAGATTGCGGTCTCCTTCTGCATTTGTATTTCTGCTTCCTTCAGTGTTTCCAGACGGCCGCGTCTGTATCAGCATTTTGCATCCACCGGGGCATGACATGTTCAACGAGCAGGAGAAGGCGGAGGAGCGGTGGCGACCTATACTAGGCGTCGAAGCCATCCTTCTCTCTGTCATTTCTATGTTGGGGGAACCAAATATTGAATCGCCAGCGAATGTGGATGCGGCAGTGAGTGAAAGCAAGCGAGCGTGCTCTTGGGGTGTCTCGCGCCTGCGGCATCCGGTTAGGGCTCTGGGCTTCAGAGCTGGGGGAGTGAGAAAAAGAGAATTTGCTCGCTCTTTTCGGGGGGGAGGGACGGAGGGGAAAGAAGGGAGCAAAGCTAGGGGGTTTAGCGCGGGGAGACGCACATACAGAGTGGGCTGAAGGCTTCGAGGGGCGTATGTCGGTGGGCGTGTTTCATTTACTTCGGCACACGCACGGCCTTTTAACGAGCGTAGTGTGGGAAGGAAGGCTTGGTGCCCCCGCAGGCGGTATGAAGGGGTGTTTCTTTGGGGTGTCTCTGTGCGCATCCAGAACATGTACAAAAACAATTTGCAAGAGTACAAGAAAAAGGTGCGTGCAATCGCAAGGAAAAGTGTTGAAGGCTGAGGGACCAGCCTCGTTTTTCCGAATACCAGCCGGCTACAAGTAGACAGTGGCGTCCCCGATATGTGCGCTTACCCCGTGGCTTGCTGCCAGCGTCCTCTCACAAGCGAACTAGCTGATTTTGTGCCTGGAAATTGCGCGTTCTTGCCGCTTGACCACCAGTGCGCTGGTTCGCTTTCGGCTAGCGGGCTGAGAAGAGTTCTGTGCAAGCGTCGTAGGTGGGTGGTAGCCTTCCGCGGGGCAGTCAGGGAGGTGCATGTGGCCACTTAGCCGTTTACGTGGCTAGCCGCTGCATGGGTAACCGTTGACTGGTCGTTCCCCGTCTGGCTACTTAGCAAGGGCTAGACGAGCGTGATTTCCTGTGGGGAATAGTTGGACCCCTGTTTGGCTAGGGGTCACCTATTCTAAGTAGCTTTATCTCTTTAAAAAGTAGAGCTGTGGGTAGCGAGTGGGAAGGCGCTGCCCATAATAAAGCTTTCTCCTCTCTTACCAGAGGCTGCCTAGCCAGACGCAGCCCTCTGGATAGCTGCCTAGCCAGACGCAGCCCTCTGGATAGCTGCCTAGCTAGCCGATAAACAACCGGACGGGGGAGCTGACTGGGTAGCCGCGCACGGGCTGCACCGCTATGCTTTATATTGGCGTGCGGCGTGGGCTCCGAGCTGCTCCTTCCCGGAACTACACAAAGAATAAACCACGTTGAGGCTACCGGCCAAATCCTTGACCAGCCAGAGCTACAGCACAGCTTTCTGGAAGACTGGTTTGCGGCCGGCTAGCTGTCAACATTGAACCAGCTTTTTTTCTCTGGCTACACACATAGGACCGGAGGTACAGGGGAGCACTCCGCCGATACTGCTAGCTGTTTGACACTGGCCGCGCGCCTTGGCATGTAGTGCGACGACGTCTATGGGAGAGTTTCCTGAGCTTCTCTACAGTTCAGCAGCTCCTGCAGGAACACAGTGCCCCCGCGCAGTTTGTGCGTATGGCTGCGCCGGTTTAGGAGGGCGTTCGGCGCAAGGGAGACATGCAGCGTTTCGTAAGGGGGGTGTTAAGTGGCTAGAAAGCTAGCCTTGCCGCTCAAACGGAGAGGGCACTTAAAAGGGCAATGTTTTTGACGCCAAGAGGGGCGAAAAGAGAACTGGGGCAGGCTGCACGAATCGACGCAGCCAGGTGTAGACAGCTGCGCAGGGTGCGCGACAGCGAGCTGGGCAACTGAGCCTCATTTTCGTTAGTACCAGGCTTGCCAGGTAGGTTTCGCAGTGGCAAGGAAATCTCTGCGGGTGGCAATTCCGAGGAGCATCACCACTTGTGAGTCTATTGGGAGTTGCTCGGGCTACGTACACCACACGCACACATGTATAAGTATACATAGATAGAAGTATATATGTATAGGAGTACATACAAACACTTGCACACATACACACAAACACCGCACAGTAAGCGAGGTGTGTGTGATTCGAGGGAGGAGAATGACGCTGGAGAGGATGCACGAGGCAGCACATATGAGCATGCAAGGGCAGACCCCTGCGTGTGTTCCTAAAGTTTCACAGATGCGCATGTCAGCAACTGCATCGCCTCTCAGGGGATTTTGGAAGTAAAGAGACTCCTCATGCCGTACAAGCAGAAGATGCGGGGAAAAGTCTGTGGCAAGCGCTCACCTTTGGCTCGGCTGGGGGCTTTGGCGTTCCCTGAAGTCTTTTGAGTGCTTCGGATATGCGGCTGATATTAATGTCAACGACTCGACGGACGGCAGCAATCTCTTCCACACTAGAACTGCTGCTGCTGGTTGTGCTGCTGTTTCCAGCCGCAGCAGCAGGCACTGGGGGTGAGGAGGATGCAGGTGTCGCCCTCTGTGAAGACCCCTCCGTCAACTGTTGCTGCAGCTGCTGCTTGTGCTGCTGCTGCTGCTGCTGCTTCTGCTTGTAGAGGAAGGATACGTCGTCTCTCACAAGCAGCGCCGCTGCGTTCGAGAAGTGGCTCGAGTATCGCTGCAGGCAGCAGACAAGAGTGTACATACACCCGGGAAGAAGGCCCGTGCGGCCAAAGACATCGATGAGAACCTCAATGTTTCTGGTAAGCCTGAAGGGCAGTCGCTCGGAGAAGTTGAGCGTCAGGCTCGAGGCGCAGTAGCAAGCTTTCAACTCCATCTGAAGAGCCTGTCCTGTCTCCGTATCCAGCAGAACCTTGGAAGGCGTGATATCAGACATTGAAAAGATATAATTCAGCACGCAATACAGCGCGTGACTTTGCGTGAACTGACGCCTGAAGATGAAAAGCTCCTCTGCGCTGCGCACCCGCCGATGCACATACATGCGAAGAACTTTGTCAGACACCAAGCCACACATGTGGCTGTACACCTCCTGTGCTGCCTGCAGCTGACAGCTCTGCTGGAATTCGGACATCCAGTGGTGCTCTTGCTGCTGCTGCTGCTGCTGCTGCTGTTGCTGCTGCTGCTGCTGTTGCTGCTGCTGCTGCTGTTGCTGCTGCTGCTGCTGGGCTGCTGTCGGCAGGTTACCACCACTCACGAGGCTTTCCGAGATGCTGCCGCTGCTGGAAGCCGTTGCATTCGCAGCTATGCCGTCTTCAGGTCGTTCTCCTCCCGCTGTCGCACCAGCAGCAGCAGCAGAGGCAGAGGGATCTGCGGAAGCGGATGGAGCCTCTGAAGGCTGCAGCTCCAATATGCGACTGAGGAGTTGCTCCTGCTGCTCGTCTTGGCAGAAGCCTGGGGAAGTGAGCACTTGAATGAGTTGCTGAGGGAGGCGTCTGCCGCTGCTGCTGCTGTTGTTGTTGTTGGGGATTATCTGCTGCTGCAGTTGTTGCTGCTGCTGGTGTTGCGCTCCGCCGTAAGGAGACGGCGTTGTGGGGTTCGCATCCTGAAGGAGCAGCGCCAGTGCTTGTTGCAGCATCTTGCTGTTGAGCTCATGAGCCATCATTTTGCGATGCAGCAACACGGGTAAGTCGGCGTCCATGCGCATCGTGGGAGCTGCATGCGCCGAGACTTCGACAAGGATCTGCTGCAAAGAGACGTAGGAGGGCGTGTCTTCTAGGAGTCGGCATCTGGGGTGAATCGACGCCTGAGCCGAGAGGGGGAACGCCAGACCTCTCCTGCGAGATTGCTTGTGCCTGAGCAGCAATCTGTTGACTTGCAGCAGCAGACACAGGAGGCGCTGCTCGGTGCGCTGATGGGCTGTACTGTACGGCTGCACAACGAAGAAGTAGCTGCTGCCATTGCTGCCGATCATCTCGATACGCTTCAACGTGTAGTGGGAACGGGTGACACACGAGTAATCGGTGCCAAACTGCTGCAAGTACACTGGAGGACGCTGCTGAGGGCTGAAGGGGCATCCATCTGCCAGCTGGAGCAGCCGCAAGCCTGGAACCTCGATTTCCACACTTACGCGCATAAACACATCGCACAGAGAGGCGCCAACATCCTCTAACGGTGTCTGCTGCTCGTTGCTCTGGGCAAGCCAAGAGAGCACATCCTTCCACCGCTTCAGCTTGGCGATGACGTCGCACAGACTCACACTGCTGCTGCTGCCTGTGCTAATGCTGCTGCTGCTGCCTGTGCTGCTGCTGCTGCTGCCTGCATTGCTGCTGCTGCTGCCTGCATTGCTGCTGCTGCTGCCTGTGCTAATGCTGCTGCCTGCATTGCTGCTGCTGCCCGCGGATGTGGATTCGTGGCAGCTGATCGCAAACTCAAAATCCTCCTTGAAAAGAGGCCACAAGCTCCGCATCGCTCGTCGCGCAGACTCTGCAGCGACGCCTCCGCAGCAACATCCGTTCCTGCTGCTGTTGCCTCGCCGGCTCTTGCTGCTGCTGCTCCCGCTGCTGCTGCCAAAGCCTCCAGAATTCGAGGCATCCGTTCCATAACGCGCCCTAAATCGCGAAATGATATTAACCTTAAGGAACTGTGCAGCTACAGGAGGCAGAGAGGAATGCCCTTGAGACACCTCGACACACTGCTGCAACAGCGTGCGAATGGCGCAAAGAATTTCATCAACTGTGGACGGCTTGGCGTGAGCTACAAGTTCCTCTGCAACACGAGCACACAACAAAAATACACACACGAAATATATATACATATATATGTATAGATGCGCGTGCGGCACGAAGAATTGCAACCTTCCCTTCTTCCCACCCCTTCCCCACATCCTTCCCCCTCCACGTCAGCGAGTTGTTCTAAGCCACGTATCCTCGAAGCTTCAGACGACAATATAACATGCCTGCAAGATGATCCAAGGCGATACACTGGGGTGTGAAGGAAGCGCGGAAGACCGTCATAAGCCACGAGAGCAGCGTCAATGACTGTTGTTGTTGCTGGGGTTGTTGTTGTTGTTGCTGGGGTTGTTGTTGTTGCTGGGGTTGTTGCTGCTGCTGTTGCTGCTGCTGCTGTTGCTGCTGTTGTTGATGCGGCTTTAGGGTTTGCAGCAGCTGCTGCTGCGCATAGAGCTCCCTCTTTTCCAAGTATGCCGTTCGGATGTCGAAGTAGAGCTGCTGCGGCGCCTGTAGGAGGAGGGCGTAAAGCAGTCGCTCTAGTTCTGCTGCTTCCTAAGAGAGCAACAGCAACACAAGCACACTGCCGAGTTGAGGATCCGCTGCAGCCTTACCCACACCGTCTGCCGCCCTCCCTCTGCCCCTCCTCCTCCCCCGAGGAAACTAAAGGACGGAAGCAGCGCCAGTGCGATCGCGCAAGAGCACAGGACGGCATGGGCAGCAGCAACAGCAGCAGCAACAGCAGCAGCAACAGCAGCAGCACATGCAGCGCAGCCTACTGGACGATCAAGGCCTGTTAGCACTTGTGGAAGCCAAGGCAGCAGCAGCTGCGGCTGTGTGCACTTTCCCATGAGCTGTCTGAACACGCGGAGACAAAGGGAAGGCTCCCGTCCTGCTGCTGCTGCAGCGAGTCCAGTGCTGGACGCCCCTCCAGCAGCAGCAGCTGCTGCTGCTGCTGTTGACGCTGCTGGTGACGCAAATGCATCGCCATGCACGACGGGGGAAGGCGTGACACCCGCAGGGGATGCTGGAGAGTCTGCCGTTGCTTTCGCTGTGCCTCCGGCAGCAGCAGCTGCTGCTGCCACTGTAGCTGCTGTTGAACTCAGAGGCACTTGATCTTGTTCAGTCGGAGCAGGAGAGGCAACAGCACCTGCTCCTGTAGGAGGTCGCGTGTCACCATCGTACGACAGCAGCCAAAGGACGCGAGACATGTAAAGAGAACTCTTAACAGGTCTGCAGAACCAACCGCACACAAAAACACACATATATGTATACATATATATACATATATGCACATATACATATATATATACATATATATACAGATACATACACATACATATACATATTCATATATATATATACATAAACACATACACACACATATATATATATATATACATATATATATACATATATATATATATACATGAATAGACACACACTCGAACCGAATCGCTTGAACATATTGTTTTGAGACAGCAATCCAAGTCGTGTGGCTGGCCTACAGTCGATGCGACTCACCTGAGCTGAATATCCATAACATAGCCTGTAACCGCGGCAGCGAGATGCAGCTGCAGAGTGGACCAGTCTACTGGATTCTTGTCTAGGATTCCAGTGTCGCAGGCATTGCTGGTGCTGCTCGCATCAGCAGCAGCAAATGATTCTTGCTGCGATGCGCCTGCGGGTGATGCATGTGGCAGCCCTACTGGTTGTTGTTGCTGCTGTTGCTGCTGTTGTTGTTGCTGTTGTTGCTGCTGCTGCTGTTGGTGCATCTTCTGCTGCTGCTGCTGCAGCAACAGCAGTTGCTGCTGCTGGTGGCGTTGCTTAAGAGCCGATAGGAAGAGGGTGTCGTGAAGTTTTGCCCAGCACAGCCACGCTGGTGCGTAGAGGGGCTGCAGCAGCAGCACAGTCTTTAGTACAGACTCGGCTTCTGAAACAAGTTCTGCGTCAGCATCACAAGCGCAGCAATTGGAGCACCCTTCTCGACGAACGCTGCCTGCCTTTATTGCATGCAGCAGCAGCGGGCATACGCTCTGCTGCCTCGTGTCTGGTTCTAGCAGTGCCTGTTTGTCGGCAACCTTTTGAATACCTTCTCTGGACAGTCCTGGGTGCTGCTGCGGCTCGTTCGATGCATGCAGACGGTGCAGGAGTTTGGCTTTGAGCAGCAGCAGCTGCAGACTCTGCTGCTGCAGCTGTGGCTGCTGCCAGGAGGGGCCGTCACACAAGGCGTCCATATTTAGCGAATTTAGCAGCTGGACCCCTGAAGCGCCAGCAGAAGGATCGGCAGACAGCAACAGTGGCTAAACCACACAAACAAGGCTACAGAATACACACAAACTACTGCTGCTAACGCTAATGCTAGTGCTAATGCTAGTGCTGATGCTAGTGCTAATGCTAGTGCTGATGCTAGTGCTGATGCTAGTGCTAATGCTAGTGCTAATGCTCGAACTGCGACAGCCTGAACAAGACTCGAGTGAGTGAGGCTGCAGCAGCAGTGTGGGAGAAGCATGCGCAGCACGTGAAGCACAGCAATTGCAGGAGGTTCTAGACTAACGCGCGTAAATCTGTGCCACAAACGAACCTGCAACCCAGTGAGAGGGCTCGTCTAGACACAGTTTTGCCTTCTCCACCTGAACATGCCGCATCGCGCAGGACGCATGGGATCGCTCGACATCACAAACAAGCGAACAGACAGCAGCGCGCTCTCCAAATATATGCAAAGTCTGTCAGATACTTCCCGTCGCGTGTGTGGGTGTCTGGACCAAGTGACACGAGAGTAGAAACCGCCTATAGAATGCAAACAGACGCTGCTATCTATCTACCAGCGGCTGCCAGGATGGGCTTAGGGAATGCAGCCTGAGCGCTCTCTCTGTCCAAGTTGCCAAGTATTTATCGCTCTTAGAGAGGGATACGCTGCAACTCCCTCCCCTGCTGCATGATGCTAGTAAGCAGATCTGCTAGAAGCTAGTCCTTCTAGGGGCGGGGGGAAGAAGGAAGCCGTGCGGATGCGTTTCAAGGTGCACCAGGCAGAGACAGCACATGCACAGGGAAGGCTAACGCGTCGCAACTGCATGGAAGCTCTTTGTCTACAAGTCTGTGTGTTTATATACACATGTACGTGGATGCATGCATGTGTGCACATGCCAACATGTGTAGGTGCACTGTCGATGTCTCTACATGGAGTATGTATGTGCATGCATGCATATACATATATGGATGTACAAGCCTATCTATACGTGCGAGCACATGTCTATGTGTTTGTGTGAGAGTTGGCGGACAAGTGCGGCGAGGTGCTCCTGGGCATAGGCAGGTTGATTGAAGGCTGGCAGATGCTGAAGTTTTATGAGGAGCGCCAAGGAGATGTCTCGCAATTGATGAGCGCTTCGTGTAACGGAGGCAAACCGCAGCATGGTCCATGGCAGATCCTGCAGGAAGGGGGGTAGCGTCCTTTTGGCTTCGGGAGACAAGTGGGGGGATGCTGACACGGCTGACTGCACGATGCTAAAGACAAAGTTTCGCCTGAGAGGGGTACAGACAGCAGCGGCACACCCGTTTTGAAAACAACGCCTTGAGGGGGGGGGGATGCGGCTCTATCTGTCATTACATCACAGGGCAAGAGGAAGCAGCAAAAAGCGTCAACGGCAGCGTTGCGTGTGCCGCCTGCATACATAGCAGACTGAGCCACCTGCTCCAGCAAATCTGAAGCTTCCCCCCTCTTTCTTTGCCTCCCCCTTGCGCGATCATTTCACGCTCTGCACCTTTCGAGACTCACCAAACAAACAAATCGTTCCAGCAGCTGATAGCATCGCAGTCATTCGGAAGACGATCTCTCCACGCATTGAGAGTCGTGCGCACCAACGGAACCTCGCCTGACACCACACACAGCCAACCGCACAGACATCACCCCAGGAGACGCTTGAAACGCTTGACCTTCTCTCTTTCTCTCTCTCTCTCCCGCATGCGCGCGGTAAAAGGCGAAAAAAGGAAGAAGAAGGCACCCCGGGGAAACAAAAAAACGGGGGGACCTTTTTTGTGTAAGCCAGCAACCCGAGGCACTCCGCGCACCTCGCGCTTGCACATGGAGAGAAACACCCACCTGGACTGCTTATCTTCTTGGCAAGATGAAGAATCAGTTTATAGCCTTCCAGCAGCTCCACGTACAGCTGGAACTGCAGAAGCAGAGGGACGTGAGCGTCCGTCGGCTGCGGAAAAAAACACCACCAGAACCAGAGTTCAAGCTTACGATGTTTCATCAAAACAGACATTGAGCTACACGGACAGACACGGCGTGTGTGTGGAGACGGCGGGCAAGGCAACGAAAGTGCCCTTCTTCGTCCACGGGCAGACAGTGCAGCGGCGCAGAGTGCGTGCAGCTACAAGAATTTCCCGCGTTGGAAGGCGAACTTTTTTCCACGAGCTTTCGAAAAGACAGCAAACCCGCAAGGTCCGCCGAGAAAAGATATTTCATTCGGTATACTCACAATCGATGGCAGACTTCGCCACGATTGCAGCAGCAGCCGTTGCACTTCTGCACAGTGCATGTCGATTTCCTGCAGCGCAACAACGGCAAGGCAACCACGCGCCACACGTTCCGCAAGAAATGGCAGTTTCAGCTATACGCAGGTTCGAGGGTTACCCTGCAAGCAGACAGGTGTGCGACAGCTACTCTGTACGCCTGCTCTCCTACTCTGACGCCGCTGTCTCTGTCTCTCTATGTATATGTATATATATATATATATATATATATATATATATATATATATATATATATATTCCCCTCCAAGTGGCCTCTAATGCCCTAAAACAACCACTCAACGCGACGCCTCTCCCGGTGCTAAATACCTGCAGCTTCTCTGTGCGCACCCATGGCCGTGCATCTGCTTCCAGCTGCCCCTTTGGATAGAGAACTTCGTGCAGCGACTGGTATGTCTGAAACACGAATTCGCGCAAACACAGTCACACAAAAGACCACAGACACCTGCCCGCAGCCGAAGAGCGTCCTCGGCTTCCTGCCTGTATCCTCACCCCTTCCCCCCGCGAAGCGCGCATACACCCACACCCCCAAAATTGCCACACACATCTACAAAACATGCACAGACAGACACATATGCGCATATATATATGTACATACACATACACACATATATACACACATGTAAAACAAAAACATATACACACACCACATGTAAAACACAAATATACATATATATATATATATATATATATATATATATATACATGTAAAACACCAATATCTATACACACATGTAAAACACAAATATCTATATACACACATGTAAAACACAAACATCTGTACACACATTTAAAACACAAACATCTGTACACACATGTAAAACACACACATATACACACACACATACACACACCACCTGTATACACACACCACATGTAAAACACAAATATATATATTAACACATGTAAAACACAAATATGTATATTAACACATGTGAAACACAACTATCTATACTCATATAAAACACAAATATCTATACACACATAAAAAACACACATGTACATACACACATTTAAAACACACGCATGCGCTTATTACCCCCATACGCCCGTACATACATAGAAAAGCAACAGGGGGGTTTTAGGAAGGGGGGATTGTACCTGACAAAGCTTCGTCGCCGGTTCACTAACGTGATGCGTCTGCATAAGCCTATCGATCTCTCCCCAGTGCTGCAGTTTGGCCGCGCACTGTAGCGACAGGCGGGAACGACGTGCTGCCGCTTGCGCCACTTCGTGCAGTGAATTCCAGCGATTCAACTCGCGACAACAGTCGATCCACAAGCGTTCCCTGAGCATTTTCGCAATTCGACACCGAAGTGTGGCCTCTACAAAATACGTTGCCTCTTGGCTTGCCCTGAGACAAACCTTTCTATTCGTCCTGCTGCTGAGTCTGCGAAAGTTGAGGGACCTTCGCGGCAGCCGAAGAGCGAGAGTCATGATGCCTGCCCTCTGCAAAAAAAGAAAAGCCTCCCTAACTTCCCCTCCCCCCTCTCTCTGATTTCTCTAGGAAACACACCACCACGTCACCTCCTCGCGCCGCTCTTCCGTATCCAGCCGCATGCCCTGAAAATATGTATACAATAAATATACGCACATATATATAATAAATATACGCACATGTATATAATAAATATACGCACATGTATATAATAAATATACGCACATAGGTACACCGCGATCAGAGTGAGGCGGAGCGAGCAGGAAAACGCGCAAGCCAGGGGATACCCAACAAAAAACACACGCAGTGCCCCCTCGTGCAAGAGCTGCCATCCACACACAGGAAGGCATTTTACACTTCTAGGCCGTAGCCTTCGTAAGCGCGTGCATTAAATATATGCATGCATATATACATATATATAGATATAGATATAGATATATATATATATATTCATCTATTTATGTACAAGTAGACAGGTGGGCTAGCTATTTATGGGGGTAGAGTAGGCAAGCAATTTCGACGATAGCTGTAGACGAACCTGCGCTTGGAGGGCTTTGAGGTTCGACACGACAACGTTCTTGGCAGAGCCAAAGTGACTGTGCTGCATCAGCGATAAGGCGGTGGCTGTTGGGCAGCACTGGGTGCGGGTTAGAATAACGCCGACGCGATAGTCGCTCTCTTCAAGGTGTCCATACACCTCAGCAAGGTACTGCAATAAGACCCGCACATACACATACATGTGCATGAATACAAACACCCACACACACATGAGAATACACATATACATGCACAGCCACACTTTCGCATGATGTCTCGTAGAAAGAAAGGCAAAAAACACGAAGTGCAGATCAGGAAACATACACACACACAGAGCACGCAGCTTCTCGCAGAGAAACATGCACATTCCGTCAGGTCGATGCTTACCGCTGCAGCCTTCCGCGCCAGACTCGCATACTGCTGTTGCTGTAATTTGTACGCTGCCACAGTCGTTGCATCGCCTTGCTGCTGCCCCTCAGCAGCAGTGGAGCCAGATGCCGCTAGATCATGATCGTAATCGATGCTGTCGTCAAAGAAATGCAATTTACTCAGCCCAAAGTCTAGGGAAGTGGTCTTCTTTTCTTGCTGCTGCTGCTGTTGCTGCTCTTGTTGCTGCTGCTCTTGTTGCTGCTGCTCTTGTTGCTGCTGCTCTTGCTGCTGCTGCCCTCGATCAGCACACGACTCGTCTTGCTTCACTGAATTGAGCGGTTCGGTTGTGGAAGGAGTCAGGGGGGAAGGAGCAGCAGCACTAGCACTCCCCCCAGCCGCTGCTGCAGCCGCTTCCGCAGAGACTGAGACTGCATGCAGATAGCTGTGTTGCAGCAGCTGCAGTGCCTCGTGACTGCAGTTCGAATGCAATGCCAAATGCTGCAGAACCTCCACCGGCAGCAGTGGAAGAGGGTCAAGTTGCAGCAGCGCCTGCAGGAACGGCTGCAACACGCGGCTTTTGCTGCAGCTGCTGGTGCTACTGCTGCGCTGCAGCATTTGCTGCTGCTGCTGCTTCTGGTGTGGCTCGCCATCAGGAGTGCCTTCATCTCCGCTGTACATAGAAGCACCCGCAAGCACAAACTCCTCACACGTACAAACAAGTTATACTTAAGCCCGCACTGATAGATATACACACATATATATACATATATGTACATACATGTATATATGTACATATATATGTATATACATATAGCACCCATTTGCCTCCAAAAGTATCTGGGGACGGCCATGGGGGAATATTACGCGTGAGGCTTGCGTGCTGCCAGCCCTTCCGTCACATTGCCTCTTTGTGGGGTGGTGTGAGTGCAAAAGAGTTCTTTCTGAGGCTGCGGTTTGAGGCTCTACATATTTATATGTATGTGGGGAATTTGTACCTGTCAGCGTCCATGTGCCTTGAAAGGAAGAGAGCACACGCCTCTGCGAGGCTGGCGCGCTGGTCGTCTGTAGCAACACTCCAGCATGCCTTAAAGACTGCCGAGAGAAGCAGCTCTGTCAGCGGGATAGAGAAAAAGGCGGTTACTTCCAAACCTGCGAAGAAGCTCTCGCCGTCTTGCAGACGGCAGAGCTGCTGGTGCTGTTCTAGGGGCAGCACCTGTTGCTTGCAAAACTCCGCATGCTGCTGCAGCACAGACTCGAGAGATTTGCGCCACGCTGCGAATCCAGGAGCATGTTGCAACAACCCTAGTCTCAGATGCACTTCAAGATATTCGCGGTGAGACTCCTGGAGCTGTTGTTGTTGCTGTTGTTGCTGGTGTAGATATTCCTCGTCCTCCTCCATGGGAGTTGCAGCGAGCTGCTGCTGCTGCTGCTGTTTCGTTGGCGGAGGGGTTGTTGTCAGCGCAGAGTAGGCAGAAATTCCATGCGCCACCAGTGGCGTTACGCCAGCAGCGGCTGCTGCCTCGGGAGCAGCTGTTGAGGCTGAATTGCTCTGCTGTTGTAGAATGTGTTGGAGGACGCTGATTTCGCAGACGGTGTTGAGGCTAAGGCTGTTCGTGTGCTGCTGCTGCGGAACCAGCGGTGGTAGCAGTGCAGCAGCTGCATCACGGAGAAGCTGACGCGGGGGGGGAGGGGGCTTTTGAACCAGCTGTTCAACGCTGCCGCTGCTGCCGTTCATGAGCATCAGAGCGACGATTGTGTGCAGCACGTTGCGGGAAGAAATGACAGTCCAATGCGGCATGAGCAGGAGAAGCTGCAGCCTCTTGAGACAGCCCATGGGCCGAGCAGGCAGCCGCTGCTGCTGTAGATACACACGATGCTGCAGCTCGAGCTGCACATCTAGCAACGCCAGAGCAGCGCGTCGGATGCTGACTACCGAGGACTGTGTCGCCTGCAGGAGTGAATGCAGCAGCGAGACGGGCAGCAGCTGAGCCTCGTCGGGTAGCTGGGGGAGAGGAGCAGCGCTGGAAGCTGCGCCGCGAGAAACGCTGCCACCACTGCCACCACCAGAAACACCACTACTACCAGCAGAAACACTGGGAACGACGACGGCGTCTGGAGGCTGCCGCTCGCTCTTGATTTGGTGCGGCTGCTTAGTGGCAGCGGCGTCTGCTTGCAGGGAGGAAACAGCTGCAACATGAGTGCGCTCAATGAGATCTGCAGCCATCGGAGGCGGAGCAGCAGCAAATACCACCGCTAGCCACTGCAGCAACACCCCCACTTCAGCGCTGCGATGGCTTGCCAGCGGAGTCAGCAAGCCCAGCAGCACTTGCAACTCTTCGACTGTGAATAATCCCCCTTTGCTGCCATCGACACGCCGCTGCCGCTGCCGCATGCAGCAGCAACAAGCGCCAGCCCCAGCACCGCCGTCCGCCTCCACACAGCTGCTGCTGTCACTGCTGCTGCTCCCCACACCATCCCCGTTGCGCAGCACGCACGCGCTGCATGCCGCGTCTTCCTCTTCGTAGACTCCCATGAGCCGCAGACTTCTGTACAGCGTAGGGAGCCGCCGCAAGTCTTGCCGCTTGCGCCGCTGCTGCTCCGGAAGCGCAGCAGCAGCCACCGTTCTCCACAAGTAGTCCTCCCACAAATGAATCTGCTGCAGCTGCTCAGACTGCTCCTCCATCGTAGGAAGATCCGGCGAAGCAACAAATGTCGCACCGTACAGCTCCTGCTCCGCTGCAGCTCTAGCCTCCTCGCAGTCCAACTCAGCTCCTGCTGCTGCGACTGCTGCGCCTGAAGAGCTCCCGCTTCCATCTCCCTTGTTGCCACAGGCGCTCTCGAGGCGCCGCTTCGTCCGCATCTCATCGTCACTCGCACGAAAAGCTGCGTCGGCAACCCCTGCAGCAGCAGCTGCTTCCCTTTCAAGTGTCTCGACGCCTTTGGTGCTGCTGCTGCAGTTCTTGTTGCTGTCGCTTGCACTGGCAGCGCTGCGGTGTATCTCCAGCCGCAGGAGCTGCACTTCCTCCAGCTGCAAGACGTCTCGCTGATGTTGCTGCTGGTGCGTGGCGTAGCTGCTTCCCCTGCACGCGCTCCAGGAAGCTCCGGGAACGGCTGCGAGGCTTGCGACGGTTGCTGCTGCAGCGGATCGCTGCCTGCAGCAAGCACAGTCCTCCCCCTCCCGAGTCTGCACTTCACGTTTTTGCGGCAGCGCAAAAAAGGGGCCTAATGCAAGACGACCGATGGTATTCAAACATCCCAGCGCGAGAGGATGCAGCGGCGAGGAACACGCGGCAAAGGCGTGCTGCAGCGACTGCAGCAATGCCGCCTTCTCGGCAGCCACGTCCAGAGGGAAGGCAGCAGCTGCTGCACAGCCCGCTGCAGCTAATGGACAGTCCGTCTTTGCAGCTTCTGCTGCTGCTGCTGCTGCTGCTGCTGCTGCTGCTCCACGGGGACCAAGCAGCAGGTGTGACGATGTCGAGAGAAGCGTTGAAAGCAACAGAAAGCACCGTACTAGGGCCGTCTCGTCTGATCGCACATACATAATGTGCACACATACACATATATACACATCTATATATATACACATGCATATATACACACATACACATATATACACATCTATATATATACACATCTACATATATACACATCTATATATATACACATCTATATATATACACATCTACATATATACACATCTATATATATATATACATCTATATATATACACATCTATATATATATACACTATATATATATACATACGCAAATTTACACACATATATATACAACCAATATGCCCTCAAAGGTGGTTCATTCCCTTCCCCCCAAAGCCGTGGATTCGGAGGGAGAAAGTGGTAGTCGCAGCAGCAGCAGTACGCCTCAAAGAGACGTCTTTATTAGAAATTCAGAAATCGCTTACGCAGCTGCGTATCCGAAACAGGAGGCCTTCTGTACGAAATGGTGGCAGCAAGTGCTCTGGCGAGATCTGCCAGTGCCTCGTGCATTAGCGGCAGCAGCAGCCGCAAGTAGATATACACCTCGTCTTGCTGCAGTCTCTGCGCATTGTTGGGAGAACCTCTAAGACTTCCTGCTCCTGCTGCAGTCGAGCCGCTTATCAGTCCCCGCAGCAAAGCCACCGCTGCTGCCATGCGAACCTGCACACACATACACACACACAAACGACGAAAAGCACGCCAAAAGCCTCACAAAAATCCCTATTTTAAGCATGCACTACACATTTCACAGTGCGCACACAAAAGCTACACACTAATTACACCTCACCCATTATACGCACACTACAAATTTTGTACATCATACACATTTCATATCATACGCCTTACACGCACTGCATACACTGTACTGTCCATACATTATACACACAATAGACGTTTCACACATTAAACGCACTCCACACACACACCACACCTTACTACATACACTGTTGACACCCTATACACACATTATACGCACACCACACCTTACTACATACACTGTTGACACCCTATACACACATTATACGCACACCACACCTTACTACATACACTATTGACACATCAAACACCCTACACACATTGTATTTATATATATATATATACAATATAAACACATACGTCACGGCAAGCGACCACGGAGAAGCACCAAACCTACCGAGACGCTGCTGATTTCGGAACCTTCTCCAGGGAGTAGGAGGCGTTCCTTTGGATTAGAGAGCGATCTTAAGCCTGCAGCAATGCACATCGCGATCATCAGGAGCATCCTCTTGATATCCCAAGTCGCGTAGATGAGGGGCTGTCTGTCCGTGGGGGTGTCTTCTTTTGCCACGCAGCGCTCGTTCGTGGCAGCTTTGCACTTCCTCATACCGCCGTTGGGCATGCAGTTGAAGGCTAAGGTCCTTTACGTACCTGTGCAGATGGCTGCAAGGAGCCGTTCGAAGAGAAGATCTTCTGGGCAGAAATGCTGCGAGGGAGGCAACGTCCACCAGGCAGTGTTACTGTCGGTGGAGGCACTGCTGCAGCTGGTGCTGCTGCTGCTGGCTGAAGCGCCTGCTGCAGCAGCAGCAGCACCGACAGTGCCTGGTGATCCTGAAGGCGGCAGCAGCTGATTGTGACGCCAGGCAGCGAACGCTTTTCGTCCTGCAGCTGCAGCGGCGAGAAATCCAGCAGAAGGGCGATGCAGCAGCACAAGCTTGGCTGTGAGGTGTTGCAATGACCAACACACTCTTGCGTTGCTGCTGCTGCTGCACGATCCTAGCAGCAACACGACATGCCGCAGACCTTCCCGCCACGTGCAAAGAGGAGCGCCTGGTGCGAGGCTAGGAGGAAGACTGCTGCTGCAGGAGGTGTTGCTGCACACGCTGCAAGTGCAGATCGCTCCTTGGTTCTCGACGGCTACGTGCGCAGCAGCGAGCGCCACCAGAAGCTGCTGCTGCTGCTGCGGCTGCTGTTGCTGCTCCTGGGCAGCATGCAGCTCGACGAGAGGCAGCTGCTGCTGCCCTGGCGCGGCGACTGCCTCCGCAGCGGGCTCGGAGTGAAGCTGCACGGCAAGACAAACACAAATTGCATGCAGACATGCACTGACCAAGAACATAGACTCCCTCTCCTGCTCGAACGTTCAGCGACATTCTCTCTGCAGCTGCATTCCTTCCACATCCTTCGCCCCCCTGCACGCCGAAGGGAGCGCTCTGCACTGCACCTCCTTGCCCCTCCTTCCCGCCGCCTCTCCGGCTGCACTTGCCTGTTGACAGAGTCTCGAGACGAGCTGAAGCGGCAGCGGCGTAGCAGGATGCAGCTGCAGCAGCAGCGCGAGTTTGGGGAGGGCAGCAAGCGCCCCTGCAGCGGCAGCAGCTGCTGCTGCTGCGTCGCGGGGGTTTATGGCCAAACAGCGAAGTAGCAGGAGCACCAGAAGGTTGCATTCGCTGCTCGAGCACCGCCAGTCTTGCTGCTGCAAGTGCTGTCGGAAGTCTGCGTGCAGCTGCTGCGCAATGGCTGCACTCCGATCGTATACAATGTGGCTAAGGTGCTGCAGCAGCAGCAGCTCCTTACGTTCAGGCTGTTGCTGCGCTTCGTGCTGTTGCCTGCAAAGCGCCAGTGCGGCAGGAACGTCCTCCAAAAGACAGCCCTCCTCCTGCTGCTGCTGCTGCTGCTGCTGCTGTTGCTGTTGCTCCCCCGAGACAAGCCTCCGCCGCTTCTCTGCAGCTTCGTTCGCGGCGGGGGTGTTTTCTCGGCTGCGCTGCAGCAGCTGCAGCAGGAAAGCGCGTCTTTCCCATATCAAAACAACATCCAGAATCTCGAGCACATGCTTCCTGCTATCGCCACCCTTTGTGTGGGTTTGCGAGCTGTTGGTGGAGCTGCTGCTGCTGCTGACATGCAGCAGCTGCTGAGCAGCGCCCAACAGCAGCTGCACGACAGCGCGACGCCAGTGAAAGAGAACTTGCTCGTGCTGTTGAGCGAGCCGCATGAATTGCAGCAGAGGGATATCTCCCGAAGCTCGCAGAAGCAGTCGCAGCCATGTGGGAGCAGTGCTTGTGTTGCAGCCACCAGCAGCAGCAGCAACAGAACCTCCGGCTGAACTCAAAGCTGCGCTGCTTCCGAGACTCTCCAGCTGCAAAGGGGCAAGAACTGGCGGCAAAGTCACCAGCTGCTGCAGCAGCAAGCCCGCAGCGCGACGCAACAGCAGCGGACGGGGAGATGCCTGCCACGACAGCACTGCATGCAACAGCTGCAGTGGTAGCCGCTGGTGCTTCAATCCCAAATGCCTCGACACCTCCGAGAGCAGCAACACAGCCATGTGCTGCACCGCAACGCTATCAGCGTTGCACTGCGCAGAACACATACATATAAATATACATATACACATATATGCATATATCAAGCGGCACAATTTCACTCATACATACACATACATACACATATATACACATGCACATACACACAGACACATGCAAACAGCCTGGATTGAACGAAAGGCCTATAAAAGTTATGAGAGCTCCGTAGAGAGAGACAGAGAAGAAGAGAATGGGGAAGAAAGTCATCAGAAGACCAAGAAAGTGTGTTCCCTTTCCCTTCCATTTCTTTCCTTCCCCCTGCCTCTGGAGGCACACCCCAGAAACGCTGAGAGCGCGCTCACCGCTGTTCGCCATGCAAACGCAAGAAGCTGTTTCCTCGCAGCCGCATCGTAGAGAAGCAGAGGCACTGCCACTCTCACGGTATCCAAGAAGGCCATGCTGCAGCAGCAAAAGCAGCAGCAGCAAAAGCAGCAGCAGCAAACAGCACGCGGAGAGTGAGGCGCTGCTTTCGCTGCTGCCTGGAGCTGGAGCGTAGCAAACAACACTGCTCTGGGAAAATGTGGCCATGGCGAGCCTAGCCGAATATCGTGAATGTGCAAGAGCCGTAAAACGAAGTGCTTACCAAAGAGAATCATGGGAATGCAATACCGACTCGAGCTTTACCACAGCAGCGCTCAGCAGCTGCAAAAGGAGCGTTGAATCGGCTACAGACAACACCCTCGGCGGCTGCTGCTGCTGCTCTTTGGTGCCGCTGCCAGCGGCAGGCTGAAGCAGCTCCCGCAGCATGGGTTGCACCAAAAGCTCCATCACCATTGACAGCTGTAGGGCTTTTAGAGGAGGCGAACTGCAGCTGCTGCTGTTGCTGCTGCTGCTGTTGCTGCTGCTGCTGTTGGCACAGCCAGCTGCTGCTGCTGCTGCTGCACCCGCTACCTCGAGCTCTGCGAAGCACGTCATTAGCAGACGCTGCTTCTGCCGCAGCAGCAGCTGCGGCAGAATCTGCTTGAGCAGCAGGGGGGGAACAAAGCCGAAGCGACTGACAGTGCTTCCGATGCTGCAGCACCTCACAAGCGTTCGGATAACCAAGAGGGTCTGCTGCTGTATCAGCGGCTGCTGTTGCTGCAGCAGCGCGACATACACAGAGGCTGCCATTGGCGTTTCTTCCTCTTTTTCTTCCCGAGTGTTATGCCTTTCCTGCTCTTGCTGCCACAACCAGCCCAACAGGTAGGCGTCCGTCTTGCCCTGAAGCTGCGGAGACACCGCAAAGTGCAGAAATGCCGTGAGCTGCTGCGCCTGCAGCAGCAACTCCTTTCTGTCTGCTTCCTTCAGCTGGTAGTCCTCTGCTGCTGTGAGAGCCGCCGCTGCGGCTGCTGCAGACTTCTCTGCGGGAGCTGCAGCAGCGGCAGCAGCAGCAGCAGCTGCTGCTGCCGCTTCTACGACGAGCGGCGGCGACACAAACGATCCATCAGCTGCAGTGTCCATGTATGCGCAATACAGCTCGACTAAGGACTGGTGCTGCTGCTGGTGATGGAAATGGTGCTGCTGCTGCTGCTGCTGCTTTACATGCGGCGAGAGGAGGAAATCCACGAAGAGCAGATCTGGGTGCATCTGCTGCAGAGCATGACACACCCTGATCGCTGCAGCAGCAGCGAACCGTAGGCTGCGGAGCCATGAACTGCTTGCGGAGGAGGTGGTCGTCGTCGTATTGCTGGAAGCCAACTCAGCGCGCACAGCCCTCTTCATCTCTGGCAACAGCCGCAACACTGCCAACCTGAGCAGAAACAGCGCAGAGAGAGCAGGCTGCTCAAAAAATCCGCAGGTGCATGCTGCGCCGAAACGACCCCAAAAAGAGAGCAACAGCAGCAGCAACAGCAGCAACAACAGCAACAGCAGCAACAACAGCAGCAGCACCACTACCGCGACACACCTCAGAGGACGAGCCGAAGTTATTTGGATGTGTTGCAACAACACTTCCAGCAACCCCTCCTTCACGCCGCAGTATTGGTACATTTGTTGCTGCTGTTGCTGGAGCTGCTGCTGCCCAGTCTCGGTGAGCAGAGGGAGCAGCAGCGCTGCAGCTGCCTCCGTGGGGAATCTGTTGAGCAACGAACTCAGAGATCCTGCGTAGAGTGGGCTTTGCAGCAGCAGCAGCCTCTGCAGCAACTGCTGCTGCGCAGCCGCATTGCTGCTACACCCAGACGGCAGCAGCAAAGACAGCAGCAGCTGCTGCAGAGTTTCCAGAGAAGGCACAAAGGCAAGTGCTGCTATGGAGGCTGCGGCTGCGCGCCAAACCTGCAGCAGAAGAGCGACGCATACAGACACAGACATCCAGACACCCGTAGAGACGGATACACACACATACAAAACATACACGTACACCTCTGCACACATCGTCGTGCCGTCCTTTCGCAGTGGAAGATCACGGCAGTCCCCCCCCTATACCTACGACACTCTTTTCTGCATCACTAGAGAGCCGCGCAGCACCTTCCCTCGCAGCTCCAAGTGCCCCCAGTGCCTCTTTACCAGGAGAGTGGAAGAAGCAGAAATGCCTTCGGATGCAGCGTTATGGAGGAAGCGGACGGCTGCTGCTGCTGCTGCGTTGTTGTTGCTGCTGCTGCCTGGAGAAGCTCCACAAGTGCCGATCGCAGAGGAGTAGCAACCCTCGACAGCAGCAACTGCAAAGGTGTGGTGAAGCAGCTGTTGCAGCAGCGTGGCGGTGAGAGGTCTTGCTGTATTCGGCTGCAGATGCAGCAGGCGCGAAATCCCCTGCAACAACCCCACCAGCATTTGCTCTCGTGGCAGGAGAGCCGCTCCCACGCGCTCCGCTGCTGCTGCTGCTGCTGCGGCTAGAGGATCTGCCGCTGCCTCCGCAGTCGTTGCAACAGCAGCAGCGAGCTGCTGCTCAACAGAGGGCCATACAATTTCCTCGAGAGCTGCCGCAGCAATCTCGCTGCGACTGCGGCTCCCGCTAGCCTCTCCCTTCGTGAGCTCGAGACAATTCTGCTCGTGCTTGAGCAGCACTCTCAGCGCATGCATGGCTGCGCGCGAGAGGTCCTCAATAGGCAGAAACAGGCAGCTGCAAAACACACAGGCAGCACATGCAGCAGCGTCGCACGGAGGCGTTTCGGCTGCTTTTGACGGCAATCGCAAAGAGCACCTGTTGCAGCTGCGTCTGAAACGTCTTTCCTGCGCATGCTACTGCTGCGCATGCTATGCTGGAGTTGCAGTTCATACCTGGCAATCGCAACAACGCAGTGTTGCAGCGCAGGGGCTGAAGGGGAAGCGGCTGCAATTACCAAAGGGACGTCTGCTGCTGCTGCTGCAGCAGCTGCAGCAGCAGCAGCACTGAGCGCGCTGCTGTTGCTGCTGACTACGCCGCTGCTGCTGCTGCTGCTCCCTGCAGCCGCCGAGGCTTGTACGCCTGCAGGCGGCTGCTCCTTGCGCGCAGCATGCAGCAACTGCTGCAGCGTGACGCGTGGCAGCAGCAGCAGAGGACGCCACTCTTCATGCAGTGCTGCGAGCTTCAGAAAGCGCAAACCCAACAGCAGTGCCTGTAGCGCAGGAGCAGCGCAGTCATCAGCACCTCGAATCGCATTTTTCATATACAGAGAGGGCCACATAAGCAACCCTGTGCGACTATTTACATATATATACATATGTATATGTATTGTCTGCATTCCTTGCGTCGAAAACTTACCTGCAAGACATCTGCCTCGAGGGAAATCGTAGGCGCAGCTCCTGTGGGGGCAGCGGCAGTTTGTTTCGCTGCAGCTTGCGTCGCGGCAAGACTTGAAGGCGTACGAGTTGGCGTGCTGGCGCTGCTGCAAAGATGGGCTGCAGCGGCAGCGGCTGCTACACTGCCTTGCCGCTGCTGCGGAGTTGCAAGAGCAGCGGACTGCGCAGTTGCTGCGGCAGTAGCAGCTGCCGCAACTGTCTGTAAGCCTCGGTACAGCACCGCCAAGGCGTCATCTAGCAGCCAGCAGATGACAGTCAGGCCGTCTGCTGCAGCAGCAGCAGACGCTGCAGCAGCTGCAGCAGATGCTGCTGCCGCTGGGGGGGGGGAAGTTCGTGCGGGTGAGAGGGGGGATGCAGCTGCAGCTGCTGCTGCAACAGCAGCGGTGGGAAGCCCTCCGCTGGAGAGCTGCTGCTGGTGCTGCTGCTGCTGGTGCTGCTGCTGCTGCTGCTGCTGCTGATCAGGGATCGGGGAGACAGCAGATGAATCCTTCGGCGTGACAGCTGCAACTGCAGCTGCAACAGCGGCGAGCGCAGCTTTGCCAGGCAGCAAGCCTCTTGGGGTAGGCCTTAAGGCGGCAACAAAACAAACGCATTCTAAAAACGCCGACTGCCAGACAGGAGCCAGGAGTCGCAAATGGCGCAAAGTCACCCATCGCAACACGCGCAGCAACGGCCAGCTCGCGCTGTTGCTGCTGGTGCTGCTGGTGCTGCTGCTGCGAGGGTTAGAGACGACTGGTGAGGCTTCGTCTGTGGGCGGATGGTGCTCGTGCTGCTGCTTGAGCTGCTGCTTGAGCTGCTGCTTGTGCTGCTGCTGCTGTAGCTGCCGCTGCTGTTGCTCTTCCTCTTCGCATCTGGCGGTTGGTGTACGCATGTCTCCGCTGTCTCCCCCTCCTGCAGCTGCTGCTGCCGCGGAAGCTGCAGCGGCAGCCGCTGCTGCTGTGCTGTGGCTAAGAAGCTCCGAGGGACTGCTGCCAATCAGCGGCGGGAGGAGCAGCAGCAGCCGTTGCGCAGACTCTCTGCAAATCGGATTCTGGTGAAACAAAGCCGGCAGCAAATGGATGTCAAGACAGCGCCACACGCGCTGCAGCAGACGTGCAGGGTCCTCCTCGTGTATGCACACCTCGGTGGAAGCTGCAGCACTTGTCGTTGCTGCAGCAGCACTTGCCGTTGCTGCAGCAGCACTTGCTGCATGCTCCGAAGAAGAGGCGTCGTCCGTGCTCGCACTCGAAGCTCGAGGATGCATCAACACGCCACCCTGCTGCTGCTGCTGCTGCTGCAGCTGCTGCAGCTGAGGCAGCGTGATGAACTCGCTACGCTTTAGCCACCAAGGACCCCCCTTGTACGGCTGCCGTCGCTGCTGCTGCTGCACGGGGAAGCTTTCTGGAATCGGAGGGGGTAGTTTCCATGCTGCTCCTGAAGGCGCAGCAGTAGCAGCAGCTGCAGCTGCAGCAGCTGGATTTTTCGCCGTCTCGACAGCGGCGTCTGCTGCCGCTCCAAAGGCCGCTTCTGCCTCCGCTGCAGCGAGCACTCCAGACAAGAACGGGGAGTGAAGCTTCTCCTCCTCCTGCTGCTGCTCATACGCCTCCTGCTGCTGCTCCTGCTCCTGCGAAAGTTGACTGCGTCCCCCCACAAGAGCAAACAGCTGCAAAAGCCAAGGCAGCCGCAGTTTCCCTCGGTAACCTAAGCATGCATGCGTCACGAGCAGCAGCAACAACTCCTCTGCCAACGAGGCGCTAAGACGCGCATCCGTCCCCTCTGCACACATTTCAAAACAGCCCATGCTTCTCCATTCCATCCCTCAGAAAAGAATCTGTGGAGGTATGCAAGTCGTTGTATGTAGGGATGTATGTATTGCTGTGCATATATATACATAGATGTATTTGCATGGCTGTATGTATGTGTATGTTTTGATGTGGACATGCATATATACAGATGTATTTGTATCGTTGTACGGATGTATACGTATTGATGTATATATATATATATATATTTATATGTATATGTATATATATATATATGTATGTGTATATGTGGAAGCAAGCGAGCAATTCTGCTGCGACTGCCACACATCCCTTCGCGTTAGTACATGTGCATGCATCAAACTTCGCTCCGTTCGCGGCTCCTCCTCTGTCTCTCTCTCTCTCTCTCTATCTCTCTCTATATCTCCCCGCCTTCACCCCCTCGCTGCGCAACGAAGCTCCCTCCAACACCTGCACTCCTTCAACCCCCTAGCCCTTCGAACAGCAGCAGCATTTCGCATCCTTACCTGCGCATTTGAGGCAATTGATGGCAGCCTGTGCGATTCTGAGAAAGTGCCTTCGAGCCCATAGAGGCGGCAAACACCGCAGCAAGCGTATGAGCGCTAAAGAACCGGCAGCTCTCTCCGCGCTGCTTCGCGAAAAGCAGAGGCGAACAAAGCCTCCACAGCACAGCAGCAACAGATTGCTGCTGCATCCTGCCGCAGCAGAGCCAGGCTGAATCTGCAGAGCATCATCACGCGCGCAAACATCCTGCAGCAACAGCTGTCAGAAGCTGGGCAGGGGTGTCGGAGCAAGGGATACGCAAAGAAGACAAGTGCTACATCAACGACACGCTGCATCATGCACGACAGACGGCAACACATGCCCTTCAGAATCAGCTGCTCGTCTGAATAAAAAGTTTCTTGGAGCGAGAGCAGAGCAAAGGCAGTCGTAGTTAGACGAGGCTCACTGCTCTCTCTGCGAGATGCTGATGACGTTGCTAGAATGGCCAAAGCGAAAAATTTATACGCATTTATGTACATTAATATATGAATTCGTATATGTATATGCATGCGATTAAGATCCGCATGTCTTACCATGACAAAAGTCGTGCAGCACCGCTCAAGTGCCCTGATAGCATGCAGTGTTGGCAGCAAAGCGGAGGCATCGAGGCGTAAGCAAGCGGTTAGCGCTCGTATTACACATGCCGCATCAAGCTGCACACACATACATCCACACACACACACACACATACATATACCCGCCTTGACATCTCGCATAAATATATATATATATGTATATAGCACATACACACACACATACATATACCCGCCTTGCCATCTCGCATAAATATATATATATGTATATATGTATATAGCACATACACACACACATACATACACCCGCCTTGCCATCTCGCATAAATAAATATATATATATATATATATATATATATATATATATGTATATAGCACATACACACACACATACATATACCCGCCTTGCCATCTCGCATAAATATATATATATATAGCACATACACACACACATACATATACCCGCCTTGCCATCTCGCATAAATATATATATATATATGTATATATATGTATATATATGTATATAGCACATACACACACACACACATATACCCGCCTTGCCATCTCGCATAAATATATATATATATATATATGTATATAGCACATACACACACACATACATATATATATATACCCGCTTTGCCATCGTTTTCCAGTGTCTCGCATGTGGGGAGCTTCTGCTGCCCTCGCTGTAGCTGCCAGCCGTGTGTGTTGAGGCTACGAACAGCCACTACAACCCTAAACTAGGAAGCCCCCTTCCCAGCACTTCGCAGCATGCGAAACAGAAACGTTCTGACAGGCGTTACCTCGTGAAGCGCTGCACCGGTGCAAAGAGAAGCCGAGTCTTCAGGAGTGACACGAGCAGCGAAGATAAGCGCACAGTGTTGCAACAGCCCGTAGACGAAGGATGCGCAACTGCTGCTGGTGGAGGTTTGGGGGTCCCCTTGCGGCTGTGTCTGTTGGTGGGGTTGCTGTTGGGGGGGATCTTTCTTGTCGAGCACTGCCAGCTGCAGCTGGCGACTCTCGTAGACGGCGTCGTCGCATGCGAGCAGCAGCAGAGCCTGCAGAAGCTGCTGAAGCAACAGCTGCTCAGCATCCCTGTGGCTCTTGGTGCGCAGGGCAGCACGCCGCTTGTCGAGGGGGTATGTGACAGCCGCAGCGGCAAATTTATCCCGCTGCAGTTGCTGCTGCTTGAGCAGCTGCGCCTCCTGCTCGAGCAGCTGCTGCTGCTGTGCTGCTGCCCCCGCAGGAATCACGCGATCGCTGCAAAAGTCGGGGAGCTGCTGGCGAAGCGCAGCGACCAGGGCGGGAGGCAGCAGTTTGCCAGACTCCGGCAGGAGCGGTATCCCCTCGGCTTCGGATTCGCGAGTGCGCGCACTCCGAGGCGATCTGCTGATGCAGATGACGCGTTTGGAGGAGGGGTGCTGGCGGGAGTGCTGCGACTGCTGCGACTGCTGCGCCGCGGCAGCCCGTGTGGTAAGCAGCAGCCAGTACAGCGAGAGCGGCGAGTCGAAATTGATGAGCAGCAGCAGCACCTGCTGCAGGAGCCGTCCAGCAGTGTAGCGCATATCCGCAGCAATACAACTCTCGCAGAGGGAGAGACACAAGCCAGGGGAGGCAGCACCGTCCGCAGCAAACAGTCCCTGCAGCAGCTGAAGACCTTTCTCTGCTGTTTCCTTCGTTTGCATTTCGCTGGAGGCTGCATGCGCGATGTCTCTCCCTTTTTTTTCGCTGCCTTTGCTGCTGCTTTGCTCGCTGCCACTCGCGTCACTCTCCAAGTCGCTGGTGCCACACGCGCTGCCGCAGCTGCCCGCTTCCCTGCCGCTGTCACTGGCTCTCCAGCTGCGCCGCTGCTTGCGGAGTGCTCTTATCGCTCTGCGCAAAGTACGAACCACCTGCGCATGCGGCTCCAGCCGCTGCTCTTCCACCTGCTGCTGAGGATGCGCAGCGATACGCGAGCCCACTGACGTCAAGAGCGGCTCGGAGGCATAGCAGAGACTGGCTGCAGCTCTGTCCGCGTCTGCATGCTGCAGCAGCTGCAGCACCAGACAGACTACGCGATCCAGTCCTAGCTGCAGCACAGCCTCGTAGCAGAAGGCGCTCTTGCTGCTGCTGCTACGGCAGCAGCTTGCAGCCTCCGCTGCTCCCGACAGTGCAGACATGCGCTCGCGATGGAGCTGTACTGGCTCGGCGGCAACTAGGATTCCGTCCGAGCCATCCACAGGCACGCCTCGCAGCTCCCCGCCGCCGCCGTCGCCGCTGCCGTCGCTGCTGATGGTCGACGTGTTGGTGCACAAGCCCAGAGGCAAGCCAATGCTGAGAACAGGCTTGAAGTAAGGCTCCGGAGAGCATGCAGCCGAATCCTTGAGGAAAGCCCTATTTTTTCCCCCCAACTTTCCGAGGATCTTGATTACCATTTCCGCGTGCTTCTCGTGTTGCTGCTGCTGCACAATGCTGCTGCTCGTGCTGCTGCCGTTGCAACTCGTGATAAAGTACCTGGAAAGCAGCAAAGACGGGGTCGGCGCAGGAGGTGGCAGCGGCTGCAGCAGCTGCAGCAACGCAGAGAGCAGCAGCGTCCGTCGTTGCTGTCGTGCCCCTTGTTGCACCTGCAGCAGCCGCATGCATGCAAACATGTATTCACACATATGTATACACACATATGTATACACACATATATATACACACATGTGTATACACATACACAAAGAAACATAGCAAATAAACACGAACATGTCCTCCTTCTAGAACCTCTGCTGCAGAGGCTGCAAGATGCGCTATTTGGAAGGACCAATGGTTGAGAGGGGCAAGGAAAGGAGAGGGAACTGCCGCGTCGGCTAGCTTCTCGGATAAGAGCGAGAGCGGCTGCCTGAAACGAAGCACAGGTTCTAACAGACGACAGAGATCTAAGGGGCTTCTTCTCACTTGAGAAGCGAGGACTGGATACACGAAATCCGCATGCAGATGTTCAACCCAGAGTTCGATGGTGCGAAGACTGAGAGTCAGCAAATCTGCGTCCGAGCTTCGCAAGGAACGCAGCAGCGGATACACCAGATACCCTGCGACAAATACACACAAGCATAAGCGTATAAGCAGGTGCAGGCTATACTTGTGGGTGAAGAGGCGGAGAAAAAAGATCGACATCCCTCTTTCCCTGGGAGTTCAGCCTTAGAGGCCTTTCAAACGCTTTCGCAACTGCGCTGCATGCAGACGCGCGCCGAAAGCCTTCAGAACAGAGCTGGCTGGTTATACGGGAGGGCAAAGACGGATACGTCCAACGATCAAAGTTTAAAGCAGCAGCGAAAAGCGCAGTGCAAACTGCTGCTGCTCCTGCTGCTGCTGCTACTGATAAGGATCAGACTGCGAGGGTTTGGAGCGTGCGCATATTATACATATATAGATATAGATATGTGTATACATATATTCTTACCCATGTGGGGAAGGAGATGCTTGAGGCGTGCAGGAGCGAGCAGAGAAAATTCGATCCACAAATCCTTGAGAACATCCGGTGCTGCAAAGACATCTAACCGAAAGGCGTGAATTTTAAGGTCTGAGCCACGACGTCTTTTTCTTCAGCCTCCGTATGCTATACCAGCACCCTCAAGCGTCCCCTGCCTCCCCTAAAGCCGCAGACATTACTCACCAGATTGCTGCTGCGCTGCACACGTCTGCAGGTAGGAATGCAAAAGCGGAGTGAAGGAGGCGAAGAAGTGCACTGAACGGCCTGCATGCGCGCAAGTCAAAATGCCTAGAGCTAATAGACTGTGAACTCTGAGATTCTAAGCTTGTTCTTCCTCTCCCCCTCTTCAGTCCTCGTGCTGATGCGCTGTAGGCAGATCCCTCCCAACCCCCTGTGCAGGCAAGAAACTGCTCGGAAGAAACGCAGCATCAACTTGGCGCGATTCTACAAGGGGGAAGCCTCTGCTTTGCAGCACACTTCTTTTCTCCTGACGCGTCGAAAACGAGATCCTCACCTGGGGGTGTAATTTGCCGCAAAAAAACCCTCAATAGACCAAGAAGCACGTGTGAAAAGTTGCTCGTACTCGCGAGGTACGCGCTGCCCCTGCACAGCTGTTGCAGGAACGGATATGCCTGTGCATTAAAGTCAGAAACACGCATCCAGGATGTTTACGAGGAAAGTGTCTGCGTCGAAGGCAGGAGGAGGCTCAGAATAGCAGAAGCTGAGGGAATGCCGAAAAAAGAAGAAACGCTTCTCCTTGCATCCAGAGAGACAGACATAGACACACAGACAGATATAGACACACAGACAGATATAGACACACAGACACACAGACAGACATAGACAGACAGACAGACATAGACACACAGACAGACAGACATAGACACACAGACAGACAGACAGACACACAGACAGACATAGACACACAGACAGACATAGACAGACAGACAGACAGACATAGACAGACAGACAGACAGACATAGACTCACACACAGACACACAGACAGCCTCATCGTGCCCTCGCCTCGACACTGAGGAAGAGGAAGGCACAGTAAGGCTGTCTCTTCGTCTCTCTTAAGGGCCTGTCTTGCAGACGTAAAGGCCAAGCCTGCCTGCGCAGGTGTGGCGGAAGAAGACTTTTACGGCAGAAGCGCAAAGCGCGTCAACCAGGCAGCACGAGAAGGGGCGAATCGCGAGTGTTGCACAAGGCACCAAGCCCATGAGACCGTACATACACCGCAGCACTTACGAGGGAGGCTTCGCAGTCTCGACAGCCGACAACAGCCTTCAGGAGGTAGCGGAAGAGACGCACCAACGAAGCCACAGGACTCATGCGGCAGAATCCTTGAGTCGCACAAACAAGGGAGAAACTCCTCGAGCCAAATGCTGCTCGCGCGGATCGCAGTGCCACGCTTTCCCTTCTCTCTGTGTGTACATGTGAATGTGTATGCATAAGTGCACACGTATACATGCATATTTGTCTGCATATACATATGCATATGTGTACCAGATGTATGTATAGGCACATGTATGTATACATGTACATATCTATATCTATATACATGTATACATGTATATACGTATATGTATGTATGTATGTATATTTGTCCATATATACATATATATGTACATGTACATGTATGTATATACGTACATATCTACATATATATCTATATTTATATATATATCTATATTTATATATATCTATAACGTTTTTGTGGAGACAGTCGATGTAAAGCACCTGTTCCTGCTTGTAGGAGGCCGTCTTCGCCTGGGCAGATATCTCCAGTATCTACGTAAGTGCTACGCCCTCTCCAAGGTTCGACGGCAGGAAAAGGCCAAGCCGCCTTTGCTTCGGTGGGGGGGGGAGTTGTTGCCTCGCGTGATGCTGTGGCGGAGAGGCTCTCACTGCTTTCCTCAGCGCTGCGAAGCATCAGCATGCGCTTTACCATAAGAGCTGCACTCCTTGCAGCAGCGGTGTGCTGCGTTGGCTGGGGTAGCAACGGGCTGCAGCGGCAGCAGCAACAGCCAAGTTTTTGCTGCTGCTGACACGGAGGTCGCCTCGCTGCGGCAGCAGCGGCAGAAGGCGAGCTGGCTGCTGCATCGGTGCATGCGCAGCAGCAGCACTGCTGCTTGCCGTAGTACTGAGGCAGGAAGCTGGAGGGGTAAATGCAGCGATGCTGCTGCTGCTGCAGAAGAAGGCTTTCCAACCCCAGACGGGAAAGCCGAGGAGACACCTCCGAGAGGCTGCTGGCAGCCGCCGCAGCAGCAAAATCTGGTGCATGCGGACTCACGCTGCTGCTGCCCGCGCTGCTGCAAAGCTCCGGAAGACGCAACATTGTCGAGGCGTGTGCCTGCAGTAACAAGCAGCAGCAGCAGTAAGAGCAGCAGCAGTAAGAGCAGCAGCAGTGAAAGCAGCACCAGTAAAAGCAACAGCAGAGAAAGCAGCAGCAGTAAAAGCAGCAGCAGTGAAAGCAGCAGCAGTAAGAGCAGCAGCAGTAAGAGCAGCAGCAGTGAAAGCAGCAGCAGTAAAAGCAGCAGCAGTAAGAGCAGCAGGACTGAGGCTGCTTGTTGCTGCAGGAGGTGGAGGAGAAGGACGAGCGCGAGAGGAAACGGGGGGAGGCTGGTTACATCAACGCATGCAGCAGCAACTCCTCACCATGTGAATGTCTTGGTGGTTTAAAACGCTTTGCTGCGTGCTATGCGGCACACGCGCTGCCCCGCGGAGAACTGCAGCATCAACTGCAGGATCGCATACCTGAAAAGAATAACGCAATAACGCATGCATGCGCGCACTCCTACAATCACCAAACGCGCATGCTGCGTGAGAGAGAGAGAGAGAGACAGACACACACACAGAGCAAGAGCAGAAGCAAGCCCAAAAGAGCAGTCTGGGAACGCTATGTATGTATGCTGCACTAGGAAGGCTACGAGCGTAGATGGAGCTTGAGGCTTTTCATTCACTGATAATATGTCTGTCTGTATGATGATTATCTGTCTGTCTGTATGATGATTATCTGTCTGTCTGTATGATGATTATCTGTCTGCCTGTATGATGGTATGTCTGTCTGTATGATGAATGTCTGTCTGCCTGTATGATGATTATCTGTCTGCCTGTATGATGGTATTGCTGTCTGTATAATGATTGTCTGTCTGCCTGTATGATGATTATCTGTCTGCCTGTATGATGATTGTCTGTCTGCCTGTATAATGATTATCTGTCTGCCTGTACGACGATTGTCTGTCTGTACGATTGTCTGCTTGCATTCTTCTGTATGCCAGTTTGCACAGCATACAAACCCTACTTACTTTGAAGGCGTCTTGCGCTGTGACTGCGTCAGATCTGTCAAATATATCGACAGAGAAGAGGAGCTGGTGCGATAAGCCAAGTTGCCTTTGGGGTCTTCCCCCGCTGCTGCAGCAGCAGCAGCCAGTGCTGCTGCTGCTGCTGCTGCATGCACATGCATTTGCCCCCTTAGCGGGCTCTGTCGCAGGTGGGGATCGTGCCGCACAGAGCCTCTGCCATGCATGCCGCGCGCATGTCGCAGCTGCGTCTGGAGCTTGTGAAGGACCAACGAGCTGAGCGGAGATGTGTGGAAAGGGCAGAGCACACAAAACACCTGCCACATCGCAAAACACGCATGCAAAAACTCGTGCTCAATGCCTCGCTGCCAGCGGCGTTAACAAGGAGAAATACGCGCATACGCCCACCCCTGCAGCAGGAGGAAGCAAAACACTACGCCTTTTGCGGCAACAGCACAGCTGTGAAGCAAAGGGACAGTCTCCAAGCCAAACAGACACACACACACACACACACACACACACAGACATATAGAGGCACCAAGGTGTTTCTACCCTTGAGACTTGCCTTGCCCAGCTATCGGCACTTGCATTTCAAGAGGCAGCATGAGCAGATCGCTTGTCTGAGCCTGCGAAGACAGCTGAGAAGCTCCGTCAAAC